AAAAAAAAAAAAAAATTACGAAAAATGGATCAAATCTCAATAAATTGAAGAAAATGAGCTTAATTCTTGAAAAACACATAAGCACTTAAATCTTATTATTATTTATTATTACACGTAATTGCGACGTACATAGAAAGGCTACAGCAATGGCGTCGCTTTCTAGCGTGGTCGGAATTTTTCAATGCAAATTTTCGTCTCATTTTATATTCTAACACACATTGATTGCTTGCATAAAATAATTTGTGAATGCATTTATGCACTAAATAAATTCTTTTTTTTTTTTTCAATTACAACAAAAGTTTGAAAACAGTATAGTTATTTACTACTGTTGGAAAGGATAGCACCAATGTTATAACGAACCCAACTATTTATTACTTTTCTTATTTTTAATAAGTGTTGTCATTTTGAGAAGTTCCACAGTAATTGTGAACTTGTCAATAACAACCCTCGTTAATGAGGATAGAAATTACTGTCTTGAGAAAAAGTGAAGAGTAAATATGAAAGATCGTCGTGTATTTATTATCTAGATGAGGGTAATAATGGAAAATTATGTACAAAATATCCAAAACGTCATTTATTTGATTAATTGTTGATAAAGCCAAAATGACATTTAAAAAAAAAAAATAGGAGGTAGCATTTATTAATATAATTCGTGAAAGTTATAGCTCAATTTGATCCATTCAAGTATTCTTGTTTTTTATTTTATTTTTTAAGGTAAAATACTTTTCCAATTCGAACTATCACGGTTTTGGCGCATCACCATATAAACTATTTTTTTTTTTACAAACCACCATCTGAACTATTCGGGTTTGTCAATGTGCCCCCTAAACCAGATATAAAAGTGGTTTTGCCTGAAAAAGTTGTTTGGTCACCATATGTGCTCCCTAAATACTTTTACAAACCACCATATGTACTATCACGGGTTTGTCAATGTGCCCCCTAAACCACTTTTATATCCGGTTTAGGGGCATATTGACAAACCCGTATAGTTCATATGGTGGTTTGTAAAAAAAAATAGTTTATATGGTGATGCGCCAAAACTGTGATAGTTCAGATGGGAAAAAGTATTTTATCTTATTTTTTAAAAAATACGGGTAAAATACTTTTTCCTATCCGAACTATCACAGTTTTGGCGCATCACTATATAAACTATTTGTTTTAACAAACCACCGTATGAACTATAAGGGTTTGTCAATGTGCCCCCTAAACCGGATATAAAAGTGGTTTAGGGGGCAAATTGACAAACCCGTGATAGTTCATATGGTGGTTTGTAAATGTATTTAGGGGGCACATATGGTGACCAAACAGTTTTTTCAGTCAAAACCACTTTTATATCTGGTTTAGGGGGCACATTGACAAACCCGTATAGTTCATATGGTGGTTTGTAAAAAAAAATAGTTTATATGGTGATGCGCCAAAACCGTGATAGTTAGGATGGGAAAAAGTATTTTACCCTAAAAAATATAAAATTACGAGTTTTAAAAAATACACTTGTTTACAAAATGAAATGACGTAAATGTCCATCTATCCGTCATAGACATATTTGACTCCGTCACATGTCAAAATCTCGTGATCTTTAAACATCATATCATCATCGTGTTAAAATATCTTGATCTTTAAATATCATATAGAATTATGCTACTTAGCCAACCTCTATTACAACTTGGTTTACAACCATGTGTAATAGAGACATTAAAAAATGCAATAATGCACATTTTTCAATGTCTCCATTACACATGGTTGTAAACCATGTTGTAATGGAGGATGGCTATGTAGCATCACTCTATTATATAATATACAGTGTGCTAATATCTTTTATCATATCATCTGATAAATATAACCTTTGCACATTGATTATGTAAGTTGCAAATTTGCAATAGAACTTGGTATTATTATATGCAATTCATAGTGATAAACAAGGCAAATGTATTGACACGTGCTTCTAACTTTTAAAATAAAAAATACTTAATATAGAGAGACAAAATATTATATATCAAAGCATATAATATATAGTCCCACCAACAAACAATAAATTCAAAGACTTGGGATCATTTTCTTTCATAGTGGGCCTATGTGTCCATATGGAAAGAGAAAAATAACATAAAAATAATTACAAAGGGCCTATAAAAAAACATATAGTAGTTGAAAAATGTGGATTATGCTCAAGAAAAAATGTTATCCACTCGAAAAAACAAAATAAAATATCAAACTATGTTTGTGTACATTTTATTTATTTTATTGCAATAATATCAGACCGACCCTTTCCACTTGGTTTGTGAAAGTCGGCCATAGATATTGGCTGCCAGAAAGTAGCATTATTAGTTTCTTTTATTTAAAATAAATTTTACATAGTATGATATGATGGATTTATTTAAAACTTGTGAGCTTATCTCAAATAAAAGTAGCATTATTAGTTTCTTTTATTTAAATAATTTTACATAGTATGATGGATTTATTTAAAAATTATGAGCTTAGCTCAAATGATTCTTGATACAATCTATTTACTCGTTGAGATGTTTGTTTATTTAATTATTCGCTGATGTTACCAAATAGTTTTTCTAAGCTAGTTTTTCAGTCATCAAACAATCAAACAATAATTGCATGTACGAAATTTATTTATTAATTATCATCAAATTTATTACCAATCATTTAGCATTAGTTATAAGTTTGAAATTGATATATTAACTATCTTTAAGTTTATTTTGAACCAACCAATTTTACAACTGAAATTACCAAAAAAAAAAAAAGAGAGAGAAAAGTCCAATTAATTTAAATTTTTGAATTGAGGGAAGTTTCATTCGAAAAGTGGCAAAAATTCTATGGAGCAATCAGATTGTTTTCTTATGGAGCTATCCATCGCTTAATATATTGACACATGTTCAAATTGTATTTATTGTAGAACATATATCAATACACTATTGGTAAATAAGTGTAAATTGCTCCATAAGCCGAGTCATCCAATGGTTTCATAGCAAAACTGCAAAAAGTAGGGACCAACAGTCTAAGTTGCCAGCTGCTTTTCCAATTCAAATTCGATCCGATTGCCTTTGCTGTACCTCCAGCTAATACATGCATTTCCTTAAATGTCAACAAATAAGATTATAAGTTGGAACTCGACTTAATGAAAGAAAAAAAAAAAAAAAAAAAGGATTGAAAATTGATGGGACGTGACATCGGATTTGATCCTCAGTTTCGCGCTCCACCGTATACATGCCTATACAAAACGAGTGTAATCCTCTGTTTCGCGATACGAGTGTGTGTTAATTAAACAGTAAAAATCCCAATTATTGTATTGTAGGTATCGATAGAGTGAAATTCTTTGTGTTCAGATGATGTTCAAGTGAGGCCGTTCATGTATTTTCAAAAAAAAAAAAATAGATATGGATTGCGAACTAATGTATAAATATTCTCACTACATAATTTTCAAATTTATTTATCTACTTATGACACTTTTGTAATCCCTACACATTGATTTATATTGTTTCGTAGTTCTATGTGTCAGTTTTGGTGGTTTGGAGTAGAATATAGACCTTTTTATCCATGTCTATTATTTTTTTTAAAAAAAAAATAGAATAATTGATTAATTAAAATCATAAATATACTTTAATAATCGATAACATTAATTAATATTTGTTATCATTTTTTTCAATTATAGTACGTCAGATTAATCATCACCTGATGAGTTTCAGTTTGACATCTATACTACATATACATATAAATATATATTTATCCCTCTAACAAAGATTATATTGCTTATCAACATTAACTAGTACTAATACTCATGTTAACATGGGTGTTGAGTTAATGAATATA